AACAAAACAAACATTACTAAGGGGGTCAACCAGCCGCATCCGAACAGACAAGCTCCAAGTCAGACGATTTCGGTTGAATTCTGCCCCCACCCCCAAGGCAGTTTACTTATTTGAAGGGGCAAACACCCCGCTTCTCCACTTTGTTACTTCATTGCACCCTCACATCTCCAACGCTGAGACACTGGAGGGCGCTGGATCGTTGGTATCTTAACTCCCACTCTTGTAGAATTCCAGGCGGCTCAGTCCTCAGCCTCCGCTGCCTTTTCCCCGACTCCAAGTGTCCGGCTTTTGGGGGAGAATTCTAGGTGAGATCGGACACACGGCTGTGCTTCGGATGGTGCCACAAACTGCTACAACCCTCCAGGAACAGTCCGAGGAATTGCAAGCAGAGGAGGTTTCCTTCCTTTGGTTTTCATTGTATTTACGGCTAAATGAAGGAGTTTCATGTCCTTTACATGTCTGGCACTTTGAAATATGGCCTCGCCTTTTTCTTAAGTTTGATTCTAGTTATTCATTACCATTGTTTTCTTTGCGCTACAGGCCCCCTTCAGCATCCGTCCCCTGTGCTAGGCACTGGACAAACACACAGGAGCAGACATAGAGCTTACAATATAATTAATGCTGCATTTTCCTGACTGAAGTTTTGTAAGATACCTCCCCCCCGATAGCTAAAGATATGAAGAAATGATAAACTTTGCACAATAATAAACTTTGCAAAACCATCCGAAGAAGTCAGCCTCATTCTTGTTCTAGAATTGAGTGTACTAAGACACCCACACTTATACCTCATGGGCGGCCAACACTGGTACAATATTTCCCTGACGCTATACAACCGATGCTAAGCAGCAGTGATAAGGAAAGAGAAATGGGGAATAATGCCACGAAAAGGAAACAAGTGAAAGGCGAATACAAAGGCCGGGGGGGAGCAGCCAGAGTAAAGGAATCTAGGCAGCTCGGAATGGTGCTAGCAATAGCAGAGCTGCTATCCAGGGTCCTGAAGCTTACGCGTGGCAAATTGTGTTTGCTCTTTGCTGAAAACTGCTATTGCTTCAGGGTTAAAACTTTAACAAACACACATTAGTTATATCTTGCTGTTGCGAACCTTGACATGGCACTGGACCATCAAGCTAACTGAGCTCCATGCTGTAGGGCAGAGGATGGGGCTTTTCTATAATGACTTATTTTTGTGCAGCTGCATCGCCAGGTGACATCAGAGCTTCTCCGCTTTTCCTAACAGAGAGTTCTTGTATTTCCCCAGTCCAAGCTCCAAGTTTGTTCAGGCCCAGGAGCGTCCAGGAAACCCCCCATCAATCCCGATCCCCATTTTCCCGCATTCTGCTGGAGACGGAGAAACTTGCTTCCCTAGGGTGTGAAGTCAGCACTTTAAGCTCCCCACAAACCCCGATATGTTCGGAGGGTGACACTCTTTCAGAACTCGGGCAACATCGAAAGCCTCGCCATTCATTAATGAGGTAGGAGAACACGGCTACGGCGTTGTTATTACACGGTTAAGCTGCTTGTCAGATTTGAGAACTGTAGGGAAAGCTATTCCTTACACTCACAGGAACCCTGTGGTTGCTTAGCAGCAAAGCTTTTCTTCTAGGTATGATCAATGGGAAAGGCTAAGATTGAAAAAAAAAAAAACCACCACCACACATACTGGTGAATCAGCCATAATCAGCCCCGTCTCGAGGAGCCCAGAGGAGGCCGAAAACTAATTAGCCTTATGTGGAAGAACTCCAAATGGGCAAGATAAGTGGCCCACGCACTGTCCGAGAACAGGAAGCAGCCTGCAGAAGCTGCAGCAGGTTAAGCCATTGATTTCTACCCAGCCCCGCCAATCTGTTAGCAAAGGAGAGGAACTCTCCGTAGGGACTCCTGCGCTGGTGAAAGGCAGAGACCTTCTAATATTCCTAAATCTGCAAACTCCTGTTGATTATTGTAGTGAATCTCTTTTTGGCGGGCTGGAGTAGTTAGGAAAAGGCAGGAACAGAAGAGGGTTGGTTGGTGAACTCATCTGTGTCAAGGCCCAAAATGCGGTTTCATCTGCTAGGACTTCTCCAGAGGTGCTGCCCTGCATGTCTTGTAAAGAAACTAAAGGAGCTCTGAGTTCTCTCTGTGTGAGAGAATGGTGGTAGGGTTGCATCACTGTATTGGCCATACTTTTCTGGTTGGGCGTTACAGTGAACAATCCCAAACATATTTTATCAAAGGGTGTGAGAGAATGGGCTGGACTATATTCCCAGGAGACAATAATATAGCTTGGTTTTTACCATGTTAATATTTCTCCTTCATGAACCCAAAGAAACACTGCTGTCTATGAAGCTCCCCTGTAAAACCCCTCCAGAGTGTCCATTTCATATGGACCACAGCTCACCATTGTGATGTTAATTAATCCACTCTGCATAGTTATTAAATCCTACTTGCCACCTAGGTGATCCTACACGCAGAGTTTTCAGTGGTACTGAGGTTTGCTTGACAACAATGATAATAGAACTTGATAAGTTTATGGTGGCTATAGTATGATAAGATTGCTTACAGTGGCATGTGGCCCATCTGTGACTGCTAGTAGCAAATATCCCCAACAGTTGGAGAGGGATGCTAGATGGGGAGGGCCCTGTTACTATAGTGAATTCTTTCCCAGGTGTCTAGCAGATGGATCTCACTAACATGCTCAGGGTCTAACTGATCACTATATTTGGGCTGGGGAAGGAATTTTCCCCCAGGTCAGATTGTCAGGGACCTGTTTTTTTGGTTTTGTTTTGGTTTTTTGCATTCCTCTGCAGCATGGGGGCACAGATCATGTGCTAGTTTGAACAAGAGTAAATGGCAGAGTCTCTGTAATTTTAAGTCTTTAAATCGTGATTTAAGGTCTTCAGTAAATCATACAGAGGTTATGGGTCTATTACA